TATATATATAGAAATATACAATCTCCTACCTATATACAAAGACAGCATTTAAAAAGCAATTGCTGATAAAAGTAAAATGTCCACAGGGGCAATGCTCTTACTCTCCTCTTGGGATGGTCCTGTAAGCAGACACACCATAGTCTTTATCAACAGTGATGGGGCCATCTGTACCCAGGGAGATGGTCACATCTTTGTGCAAAGTGTTAATAAACCTGAGGTAGAGAAGTTAGTTACATATTAGACAAACACACCCAAAAGGGACACGTGATAAAAGTGGGAGTTGAACTCGTACTAGGTAAGTGTTCTACCCCTTAGCTATCTCCATACCCTCCTCCCCTTTTGCATGGAAGATTAAACCCAAGACCTTCACACTGGGCTACATCTGTGATCCTTCTAAAGTACTTTATTTTGAGACAGGGTCTCACTAAGTCACTACATGGCTGGGTTTGAGTTTACAGTCCTCCCACCTCAGCCTCCCAGAGTGCTAGGATTATAGGCAGGTGCCACCACACCTACATTTTTTACAATTTTACTTTGACACAGCATCTCACTGAACTGCTCAGATTGACCTTAAACTTTCTATTTTCTTGCCACAAATTCCCAAACCACTAGAATTTCTGTGCTGCCCTATATAGCTGGTAGGGGCCTTTTGTTTTGTTTAACATTATAACCCCAGGACTGAGAATAATGGCTATCATGTAAAAGGTACATAATATCTAGTATCCTCCAGCTTTCTTTCTGGAGTATTCTTTATCTGTCATATCCTCACCAGATCTCAAGCTGTATAGATGCTATCATGATCACCCCTGACAAGTTGGGTTTCCTTTCTTTTCTTTTATTTTGGTACCAGGAATTGAACTCAGGACCTTGTGCTTCCCAGGCAGGCGCTTAGGCCACTGAGCTATATCCCCGGCCCTAGGTTTCCTTTTGAATTCAGTTCATATGCATCCATTTTCATTCCTTCATAATGATGAAATTAATCAAACCCAACTTTACTAAGTAAATAATAAAATTGTGTATAAAGATGTAATGACGTTTATATAAAACTGACATTTTGTCCCTTTACAGATGAAGTTTGACTTAACTCATACAAAGACTCATTCAGACTCTCAGTCTGTAGGAGGTTGTGACTACTCTTTGGGGTGTCCTCAGAAATCTTGGACCCTTCCAGAACCATCTTTCTAGTGTTCTAACGTAAGCACCTAGGTTATCTGCTCAGGATGGGCTTTGGAACATTTCTGTTTTGATAGTTTTTGCTTTAGTCCTTGGTTCAAGGATTAGAAGGGTGGTTCCCTCTAGAGTTCTAAATATTTACTTCTGGACTTTAAATCATCCTGTACTCACCTAGAAAGTACACTTTCTGCAAGCCTACAGAAAGTAAAAAATCAGTAGCAACTAACAAAAAGGAACCTATAGTCAGAATATTTGGTCATCAGACAGATCTTTTGTAAAACACTAATGGGTCAGTCAGTTATCTTTCTCTCAGAAGACAACTTGGAATTTAGGCCTCATTTCTGTTTTAAGCCATTAACTTTTCTGAAGCATAATCAAAAGCATGTTATAATGAATGTTCTACCCTTCAGTGGGATTTAGACTTTTCATTAAAGTGCTATTCTCAACCCCTTCTATCTTGGTGGCTGTAGACATTTGTATCTGTCCATTTTATATGTAATACCTGCCAAAGAAGGTAAGTGACCTCTTTGGACCTCCATCTCTGGATTATCCCTTGTTATTGGACAAGACTTTTAGCCTTACCTAAATTCTAAACCAAGTCTTTTGATTCTAGATATGAACTACACCGTGATGCCTCTACAGACCTATTATAGAAACTATACTTTAAATGGTAGATATCCATGTATGAAAAATTAAGGGAAAATTATTTGCTCACTTGTAAATTTCTCTCCAGTAAATAAAAAGTACTCAGTTACTTTCTTGGTTTTTTTGTTTGTTTTGTTTTCCTCCTTGCGGGAATCGAACTCATAACCTTGTGCTTGTCAGGCAGGCACTGTGCCGCTGAGCTAAATCCCCAACCTCCTCAGTTACTTTGTTGAGAGCAGGATTAATGAATGATGTTTTGAAGAAATTTTTGCAGTGGGGCACATAGGTTATCTTCAAATAGGAAAGAGCAAATCTATCTGCCTCTAACTGTCCTAAAAATTCCCTTCGTATGCAGGTGCCCCTGACATTCTAGGAGAGGTAATTCCTCTTCAAAATAAGTAAATTATGAGGCCTCTTCATCTGAAGCCCTAGAAATCAGAAGAGACCCAAGATGCAAGAAAACACAGTGGCTCAGGGTCTGCTTGACATCCAAACCTGACAGCTGTCATTCCATTGATTGTTTTGTTTTCTACATCCTTTACCTACAATAGAAGAAAGTAATAATCAGTAACAACTGACAAAAAGGAACTCATAATCAAATATTTGATCATCAGACAGATCATTGATAAGACACTAATGGGTCAGCCAATTATCTTGCTTTCAGATAACAACTTGGAACTTAGGCAGTCCCTCAACTTACCATTATGCTGGAGATATTTTTCCCATCTGCATGGAGGATCACAGTGTACCAGTTATTCTCCACTACAGAATGTTCAGTGTGGACAGATAGATTGTGGTACTTCAGATGGAAATGGAAATCCTGGCTTTTTGAATTCAGGTGCAGTTTGAAATAGTGTGTTGGTTTCTATAGAATGAAGTATCTGTTTCACTTTCTATCCCAGCTGGAGCATTACAATCTCATGGCATTTCAGGGTGAGTGATATGAGTAATTTAAAAAAAAAAAAAACTAGTTCTTTTATATCTAGGAATCTATCAGAGGAAATAATTAGAGCCATAGATAAAGATTTATGAATAAGGATATTTACTATAGGATCATGTATAATAATAAATACTTGAGTATCTATAAAAATGCTTAAATAGACTATAGGGTGGAATATTATATGGCCATTAAAACCATGTTATCAAAGCTTATCTAAGGACATGAGAAGTAGCTTATGAGAAAATGTCAATTAAAAAAAATCAATGCCAATATAACACATAAAGTTTCTAATTCATTCAGGCCCATACCTCACCTGAAAAGATTTGATGGGCTCTGCCAATAGAGAATTATTTCCATGCCCCAGCACTGTCACTTTCACCTCGTCATCTGCCAAGTTTAAAACTTGTAGGAAAATTTCTTGGGACCCTGGCTGAGGTGGGGCCATTCCCTTAGGACAGATAACATACATTAGAATCACCAATAAATAACCCTTAAGATACAATGAGAACACACACCTTACTCCTGTCCTTCACAGCATAGCCTATCTAGCCAAGAGGACACAGTTTTCTCTCACTAATGAACTAAAGGCAGTTTAGAAGGGAAACACAAAGTCAGTGTAGCAAGCACTAATGTCAGGTAATGAACTCATGCTTTTTGACTCATTCCCCAATATTGGTTATTTGGCTGCCAAAAGGAATCTGTTCAAATATCTAGAAAGACATTGTATGAGCCTGTATTCCTTAGACTGGATAATATCTAGGATGTTAGTGTTTGGAAATTCTTTGAAAATAACTTCTGCATCACTCAGGAGAGGAGTGGGCCTCATTTTGCTTTGCTGTTCTGCCCTGTATCTACTCATTTCTCATGCAAACTTGCTATGTATCTCCTATAAAACAGGTCCTGAGCTAGGTCCCAGGGAAACAAGATTGAACAAATCAGAATAATGACGAAGACATATGGCCCTGCCCTCCTGGAGCTTATGATTTACTGGACTCACATTTATTTTTATCTCCACAATAGCTGCAACTGCAAATGCCAGGCATGCTAGAATCATACCAACAGCCATCTTCCTAAGTGAGCTGCAGAGGTAAAGGAGAGACGGTCATATCCATTCTTTAGGCTCAAGAGTATAAAATCCAAATTCCTTAACCGATCACAGAAGACCTTTCCTCGTTTAATCCCAGTTATTTTTCAAAGTACTTCCTACAACTTCTTTTCATGTATCTTATTTCCCCTTTTACTTGAGTCACACGGAACTGATATTCTAATACACATTTTTCTACTGCTACCTTTGCTTACTGCTTTTTCTAGCCATCATAACATAACATAATACCAAAAGTAATAGCAATGCAGCCAGATTTGTTGAGCATTTACCGTACACCAGGTGTTGTACATACTTTAACCATTTTTCTCTTCAGTAGTGTTTGTTGACCTTGGCAGCAGGAAGGATTCTATTCCTTCTCTGTACTTCCCAGGCATCTCAATCTTCCCTTCTTAGAGCAATTAACATATATTATATGTGTAACAGTTACTCCAGCATGTGCTGTAACTTCCTTACCTTGAGAGAAAGGTCTGTGCTTGACTTACATATGTATAGCACTCGGTCCTGAACTCCCTAATATCTGTTCAATGAATGAGTAACTCACAAAAGGCCATTTGAAGGTGGTACAGTGGCCATGACTTTGTCATCACAATTAAATTGCTATTAAATTAGAATGAAAGGAAGTTTGAAACCCACCTCCACCAGACCTTATAAAGAATAAGTTCTATCTAGAATAGGGGCAAAGTAATAACTGGGAACAAGTCTATCTTTAGTCTTACCAGGTCCCCATTTGTTTCATAGAGACAAGCAGAAACTTAAAGGAATGAGTTGTTATTAAAGGTTTTGGATTTCCTGAAAGAGGGAACATTCGTGAAAAAAAAGCAGCAAGTTGGTTTAGCAGCCTAATCTTATATACCATACTTCTAACTTTTCAAAAAGTGTAGACATATTCCTTCAGCATCATACACTTAAGTACAGACTACTGGCTTTAACTTTCAATATCTAGATCTAATTCCCACTTTCCACTAGAAGAGGCAGTAGTTCCACAGGGGAAATTAGCAGCAGATAAATGATAAACCAAAACATTAAGCAGAAACATGTTGATAATGAATCTTTATCAAACTGGGCAAAGATTGAGACAGTTTGGAGTCATGAACTTACGAGAACTTGATTCCACATTTGGCGATCAGCCGATAAATGACAAGGTCAAACAATGGGATGAAGATAAGAACCAGAAAAGGATTTAGCACCTGTAACATCAGAGTAAAAAGGACTGGCCACAAGTGTTCTCTCATGAGCCTGAGCATGTGCGTTCATTTGCCCAGGTGTACTCTCTCACACTCACATACACTTTCACCTTTGTAAGTACAGATTGAGTCCACATTTCTCAGTCCCTTTATATCCAAGACTCTATTTCCCATGAACACTCCTGAGCTTCCAAGTATCCCAAGGGACTAGTTTCTTTCTGAGCCTGTTTTTCTTCTAATCATATTAGGAAGTCCTCTTTTCCGTGTTGCCTATCTTTACTTTCACAGCCCATGGGGGAAATGCAGCAGTCAGAAGAAAGCGAGGAAAGAAGAAAGAACTGGGGATTGGTGAATGAGCAGCTAAAAAAAGAACTAGAAGTTACGAATAAACAGATATTCTGACTTCACTGCTCACATAACGAAGTGTTAACACCTTACTGTGACAATGTTACTTTCACATAGAAAAAAATGCAATGCTTATACTTTACCTGGGGACTCAAATTCATTTCCCCTAGAGTTATACAGGAACTACTTATTTAAGAGAGGATGGAATGGAAGGTATAAGATTTAAAGAGAATGTTTTCATCTCTATACATAGCTTTCCTCAGCTATAGAAGGAGAAACACATCAGATCATGACCGATAATCTGGCAGCTAGAAGCACAGGAAAGAACTACACCCTCCCTCCCCATAGAGAAGTCTCCTACCTGCATCTGGTCAGGCTGAAGCACAAAAAAACCCTGAAATATTATAATAAGTTATCATTAGATGGTAGCAGAAGATCAGTCATCTTGGTAATTAGCAGGTAAGGAGCATATAAAAAGTCCATTAGGTCTTTACTTAAGGGACTTGGAGGATCTTACCTATAATGATATTTAGGGCTGAGAACAGATTTTGGGTGGCTTCTGGCTATGTTTGCTGAGGGCAGACAGGGCCTATGGGAGAATATTCTTTTTTGAGTACATATTGAGCATCCATTATCCAAAATGATTGAGACTTTGAAACATTTCATACAGAATGAAACATCTCAGGGAAGAGAGCCAAGTCTACAGACAAAATTTATTCTTGTTTTACATACACCTCAGAAGCATAGCCTGAAGATATTTTCATATAATATTTGGAATAATTTTGTGCATGAAACGGTTTCATGGTATGAAATTTTTCACTTGTGACATCATCCTGATTTTCAGAAAGGTTTGGATTTTGTAATAATTCCAGTCTGGGATCTTTGGATTAGTGATGCTCAACCTGTAGTATGTTTTCCTTAGCTTGAGAAAGAAGAGAGTTGGCTTTTTAAAAATTAATCTCTGCAACTATAGTTATAAGCAGTAATAATGAGGACAAGATGTTGTGGTTGGGCGATGACTTCCACTGACCCAAAATGCTTCTAAATGTGCTCTGCAGAGTCGACAAGAGAACCATCTCTTGATGATGTCTTAAGGGGAAAAAAAGTCACCATCCAAGTTCTATGTCATTTATTTGCTATCCTCTCAATATATCCTTCTATACATTTAAATGTTTCCCATCCTTCCATTCCTGGTTCTAAAGACAAGATTTTGGAGTTTTACTTCTAGACTAGTTTTTAAAAAATTGCCTATTAGTGCCTTAAGGCTAAATGCACCTCTGTAATGGTTTTAATTTAGTCTTTAGACAAAAACACAAATATATGAATTTTTCTTTAATATGGATGATAAAGATAATTGTCTTCTCAGAAAAACCTCTTCTACTTACCAAATCCCCATTCATCTTAGTGGCTTGTAGGGTCCATCGGGAGCCCTAGAGCAAGCAGATGCTATTATGAGAAATCTCTCTCCTATGAAAGGAAAATAGCTGGATGCAGAGGTAGCTTTGAAAAGAACTACTCCTACCTGCTGATCCAAAAGGGCCCAGAACATGGGCAATGGGATGTAGAGGAACAGTATCCTGGTCAGTGCCTTCACATCCATAATGAGATGCTTCTGCAAGGAAGAAGAAAAAAGAGGTAGAATTGCCAGATGTTCCCAATATGGTTTTTCTTGCTTACAGCACAAGTGCAAAAGAACAGTAAGAGACGAGGTCGAATACACCAGAAAAAATTCAATTGGAAAGACTCCATAGAGCCACGAACAGTCTTTGTAGTTTCAACTTACCGGGTATTTCTCTGCTGCCCAGTCCAGCCAGTGCGGGCGCCTTGGAATGTTCTGAGAACGGTTCTTGAAGCGGTTGGAAATGGCAAACTAGGGCAGAGCACAGACATCAGGCAGGAGACAAACAGAAGCTGTCCTTCATATTTTCCAATTTACTACCCCTTCCCTCAGATGCACATACTTTCAGTGACTTACTCCAACTCTTTAATCTCATCAGACATTGAATTTCAGAATATTTGAGGTATATAATTTCATTTTTTCTTATTTCCAGTTTACATTATATAAACTACACATCACAAAAGTTTTGCCAATTTAAGAAAAATGTGGAAAATTGGAAGATGAAAAACATGGGTTTTTTTTTCTGAATGGGTAGGTAGAGGTATGGAGGAAGGTGAGTTGTCAGATGGCATGAAAGCAGAACAAGGATCACTGAGGATAATATATGCACACATTTGAAGAACCTCTCTCCTCATGTAGGATCTCTTTTCTTTTTATTGAAAAAGATAGGTAAAAAAATTCATGGACTCACCCCAACACATTTGATAACTTGAGCCACTACGTTTCCTTCAGGAGGTGGTTTCTTGTACATTTTGCTTCCCATTGCAAACACAACTGCAATTGATACACAAACAAGGTTCTTAGCTACTTATACATCTCATAAGGAGGGAACCTACTTATACTTCCTGATTTTGAAGTTTTAAAAATTATGGGAGCCAAGAGAAAATAAAAGGGTTAATTGTTAAGAGGCATCTGTTGAGACATTCATGGGATCACAGAAATGGGAGTCATCTTTGGCTTCTCATTCCACATTGTTCACTTCCATATCTGATGTGACCAACTTTCTTAGTTCTCTTTCTTCAGTCGATTTCTGTATGCCTCCTTTTTTCCATTACCACTGCCACTAACCTGTTTAGGACCTCACAGTTTCTACCTGGCACTATTAAAATGCTCATCTACTTATTTTTCATTCTCTAGTCTCTTTTTCTCTTAATGTGATGCCAAATTAAAACTTTCTAGTATATCTCCAACCCAAACATCTAGCAGAAAGTCTTTTCTAGATTTTTTATTATACTACAACCTATTGAAGGGTTATTTTATAAGTAAATTGTTAAGCACTTTATATATTTCAACTGGTTTAGCATATGTGTGTGTGTGTATATATATACATATATATATATATATCCTATCTCCATTGTATGTATGTGTGTGTGTATTTATTTATTTATTTTGAGACAGTGTCTTGCTATGTAGTTCAAGATGGTCCTGAATTCACTATGTAGCTCAGGCTGGCCTTGAACTCACAGCAATCCTCCTGCCTCAGCCTCCCAAGTGCTAAGATTACAGGCATGCACCACCACACCCAGTCTCTTATCTTTACTTTATACATTGAAAAATTGAAAGTTAAAGAAATTAAGTAACTTATACAAGATTACACAGCTTAAAATTGCCATAAATAGCATTTTTTACCAGAGGCTTATCTAACTCAAAAATCCATGCTATTAGCCACTATAAAGCATCTCCATCAATCATTACAACATGACACAGTGTACTTGATACTGCTGTGGAAAAGACAAGACCTTGTCCTCAAAGTAATGCACTTTAACTACTATTTCCCGTCTTATGTTTCACTATTCTTCTTTAGGTGCTTTATGCTCTAATCACTACTCATCCTTTCCACCGAAAATCGTATTCTGTGCTATTTCTGTTCTTACAATAATTCTGTTTCCCGTATTCACATCTTTATCTCTTATTGTTCCTTTTACTTTCCAAGTTAGTGGCAATGAGTTAGTATTTTATAATTATAAAACAGCATTCATTCTCTATAACAGCCTTCTTATTGTTGAAAGAAAGATTTTATGAAATAATGATAATCCTGGGAATCAAGTGGGCAGATAAAGAGATATTTAGATGAAAGGAAATTATTTTTTATGAGAAATAAACTGCTTCTGAAATTAAGAATGATCCTATGGAACTGGACCCCTCCAGAACGCTGGTTGCAATAGTGGCAATGAAGTGATAAAAGGAAGACATGATCAACTGAGGAATGGATAAAAAAGATGTGTTTGTTTACACAATGGAGTATTACTTAGCTATAAAGAGAGATAAACTCGAGGCTTTTGTAGGTAAATGGATGAAATTAGAGACCATACTCCTAAGTGAAATAAATCAGACCTGCATATGTAAACACCATATTGTTTCCCTAGAGTAAGAACCTGAAAGAGTAAATAAAATCTGAAAGGTACATTAGCTATTGTGAAAGAGAAAGATACTACTCAAAAGGAAAGAACAACTGGGATGAGAGAAAGGAGGAAAGAAAGAAAGAAAGAAAGAAAGAAAGAAAGAAAGAAAGAAAGAAAGAAAGAAAAAATATATGTGTATACACAAGATAGGTAAGATAATCACACTTCTCATTTCTATTGTTTTATTGAAAGGAACAGTTAATGTTTGATCAATCTTGCATACCTGTATCTGGTAATCTGAGCAACTTCCCTGAAGGTAACAATATGTAATCCAACAACCATTGTTAATTTCCTATCATCTTGTTTTGAAATTCTGTATCATTTTTATTGTTTTTTGTGTTGTTTGGCTTTTGTCTTTGTTTTTGTTATTTTGTTTTTGTTCTTTTCTCTTCAAAATAAAAAAAAGGAAGATGTGATAAACTTGACAAGTCACTTAAATTTTACGCCACTTAACTAAAGAAGATGAGTAGAAAATAACCCTCTCCACCTCCTAGTAGATGATGTAGTCTCTTCACAATGAAAACAGAAGGCTTCAAATGGAAACTTCAACTTCCGGCCACCAAATCTTTAATTTTGCATTCACACCCATCCTCTCCTTCTTCCAATTAGGTAAAGATGTTTCTTCTCTTGTCCAAAACTAATTTTTCCATGTGTGCTTTTACACTAATTATACTGTCTTTTTTGCATCCTCAACTCTTTCTTCCTAAAAATATTCGTGCAGAATATACCAATGTTGCTTAAATCCATGTTACATTCTAGCTACAAATACTGTTTTCCATTTCTTATTTCTTATTCACTTTCCAATTTATTCCATGTAGTACTCACCCTCCACCAATCTTCCATAACTGATGTTATGATTTAAATCTAAAATGTTCCCCCAACGATGTGTTCAGAGGTGGGGCTTGTGGGAAATGACTGACTGGATCATGAGGCCCCTAACTTCATCAGCGGATTAATTCATTCTTTAGATCATAATTTGGTGGCATTATTGCCACAACATGAAAACATTGGTGGTAATGAAAACATTGGAAATGGGGCCTGGTTGGAGGGAACAGGTCATGAGGGCATAATCCAGGGGACTATAGGCCCTATACCTCTGGGTCTTTCCCTTTCTCTCTGCTTCCTGGCTGTCGTAGGGTGAGAAGCTTTCCTCTGAAACACTCTTCCTCCATGATGTTCTGCCTTACTTCAGATCCACAGCAATGGAACCAGCCAACCATGGGCTGAAACCTCTGGAATTATGAGCTGAAATAAATCCTTCTCCCTTTAAGTTGTTCTTCTCAGGTATTTTGCCACATCATCGCAAAACTAACACAACTGACATCACCATGTCAATGACATCTTTGCTGCTATATTTAATGAACATATTCACCCTTAGTTCAGTTCCTACTCAGTAACATTTGTCCAAATGAGTTCCTTCTTAAAACCTTTTTGGTATCTAAGATAGCACTAATGCCACTTGGGTTTTCCCTCCTAAGTTTCTTTTTTTGGGGGTTCCTTTAAGTGCCAGTGTTCCTTAGGGTTTGGTTCTAAGTCTTCTTTTACCTTACTCCTATTATCTTAGTTATCTATGTTTAAGGTTTAATGTCTACCCATGTACTCTATGGCTGCAGCCCAAACAATCTCTTAATGTCCTGAATTGGCTATTTCTAAATAATTATTTGGTGATTATAATGAAATGTTCAAACAACATGTAAAATGTCCACAACCAAATTTATCAATATTTCCCAAACTTGTTCTCTGTCACTATCTCAGTTAATGATCCCACTGTCTACCTAGACATTTACATTAGAACCCTGCATGCAACACAGATACCTTCTCCCTCATTTCATATATCTAATCATATGAAGGTTGTTAGTTCTACCAGGACAAGGTGAGTTGAGTGAGGTGCTCAATTTAAAGGTACTCAAATAAAATTTAAAGGAATGATAGAAAATGCAATAATCAAAATAAATATTACCTTTGCCTTACCCTAAACCCAATCCTTTCTCCACGTTATATTGACATCTTTGAAAAATGAAAATTCAATGATCATTTTCTGTTCAAAACATTTTGTAGATCTCCACCTCCTCACAGTGAAGTTGTAGTTCCTTAATGGCTTAAAAGACATTTCCTTGTCTTGTTTATACCAATTTTTCTTTATCTTTCTCATTTATGCTCCAGGTAATCTGAATTCCTTGAAGGTCATGAACATGTCGTACTATCTCGCACCTCCTCGCCTTAATACTTTGTCCTCTTTCTGCATCACTTATAATCCTTTCTTTAATGAACTGCTATTCACGCTTGACGTCTCACCTTAGAAGTCAGTTCTTTAGGAAAATCTTTTACAACCCTCAAGTTGTTGTTACTGTTGTTGTTTTGGTTTTGGGGACAAGGTCTCACTAGCTAGTTCAGGCTGGCCTTAAGTTCACGAGATAGCCCAGACTAGCCTTGAACTCACAGTGGTCCCCCTGCCTCAGGCTCCTGAGTGTTTGGATTAGAGGCATGTGCCACCGTGTCTGGAAACGTCCCTCACAGTCTTAATCACCTTTCTATAAACTCCCATAGTTTTCTCTATATTTCCCAGTTGTGACATAGGCCGTGCTATATTTTAAATTCCTTTTCACTCGTCTGTCTTCCCCGTTTTACTCTTATGTTCTTTGAGAATATGAACTCTGCAGCTATCTAATTCTTCAGTGGGGACTCAATACCTAACACAGAATCTGTCCCATAACAGACATAATAATAGCACTTAACAATTCATAATTTATAAAACATTTCATTTATAGCATTTTGTTTGGGCTTCATAATTATTTTGATAGATAAATACCACTACTGTGCAATGATATGGAGAAGGAGGTGTAAACTACTCAGTGGAAAACCAAGAAAATATTTGGAAAAACATTCAGTATAGAAAGGAGAAGGAAGCAGGGACTGTACTATAGCTCTTCTCATCCCCTGTAGAAAGTAATCAGCCTGAATAGTGAGTCTCTGGGCGCCTTCCTCTTTTGAACTCTTTATGTGTTTAGACTGGACATCTTCCAGAGAGGCGTCACCCTAAGGCTCAGAGTGAGAGCAAGTTTCCAGGCCAATGATTAGAAACAATTACATCCAAATTTCTCCTTAGGCTGCCTAAACTATGCAACCCCACACATCCCCCTTTTCTTCCAGGACTGGGTTCTCAGGGCTGGTAAAAAGAATTCCACTTGATCTACATTTATACCTACTTACCCAACTCCTCTTACTCTCTTTGTTCAAAGGCAAACTCTTTGAGAGCATTGTAGAGCAAAGTGGAAATAGCTAAACGTAGAACTGCTTTATAAAAGGCCCAGAGAATCAAAAATGTCTTCTAATTATCAAATAAATAAGCAGCAGATGATGTAAACTAATTTAGGGGAAGATTAATTACTTTCCTTCTTACTTTAGTAAAGAGCAGTGTGCTTCAAACTTTACTACAGTACATTGGAATCACTGGTGATAATTTAAAAATTATAGTGCCTAACCCCTCACCTGTCCTGCGTGTGGCCCAGAGACTAATCTTTAAGCTCCTCAAGAAACTTTTAATAGGTGTATAATTAGGGGTACTTCTTTAAAGATTTTTGACTTAATAGTTTCTCTTCAAATCCAAGGGGGAAACCCCTAAAATAACACCTCAGAGTTACTGTGAAGATTGTACAAAGCAGTTTAAGCAAAACAATTACATGATACTCTCTTTGTGGCTTTCTTTGATGCTCTCTGTGATTGTTACTTTCCTTTGCCCCACTGTACTTACCAAGCGCTATTACCATGAGCAATCCTGGAACTCCAAAAGCCAGTGCATAGCAGTCTTCCCCAAAACACTGCACATCTCCTAAAGAAAGTGAGGAGGGGATAACTTTGAATCTTGAACCTTTGCTATTCAAGGTATTCAAGATCAGATTCTTGATGTAGGCATAACCATCCTCTGTTCTTCTGTCACTGAATCCATAATCCTTCTTTTAGGACAGACAAAATGAAGTTCTCACAGATTTCCAAGCTCTTATAAAAGGAGAAGGTGGACTGCAGGAAAGCTGGAACAGATTTTTAGCTGGCTAGAGTACAGCCTTAGAGAGGACCCCATAGGAAACGATCCTAACCTCTCAGCATGGGTGTGATAAATGTAGAAATCAAACTTCCCGCATTGATGGAGAGGTAGAAGACTGAGAAGTATCTAGTTCGTTCCTCTGCCTGAAACAAACAGGATAAATCATTAGTGCAATGTGCTTCCCAGCTCCATTCCTACGTCATATTCAGAGTCAGAGGGAAGTACACACAGAGAGGCAGAATATATATATTTCCTCTATGGTGGGTATTTAATGGCTGTCTGACCCTAGACAAACATTTAGTCATCTTTTAATCTCCTGTATAGACAGCTTTAACATTCTTTTAACCCTTCATATGGGCAAAAATGATCATCTTTAATGCCACTATTGTGTCCTGTACATATCTGTCCCAATAATAATTTATTTGCACTAAAGGTTTCTTTCAGTAAGTCCTCAGTCTTTTGGGGGCAAAAAGCATATCTTACTGATTTCTATAGTCCCTGGTACCCAGCCTAGCAGCTGATATACATTAGAAACTCAGTGGATGTTTATTGACTATATTCATTAAATGGATGACTAAGTGAAATAATAGATTTTGTGGAGTATAATAGGAATAGGACAAGAACATAGGCTAGTGTAATGAGCTGTTGATCAAACAGGACAGTTCAACCAGTGCTTAACAGACATCTGCCAGAAAATATAAAAGGACATTAGCAGGTTTAGAAGTAGCTAGCAGAATCTTGGAGAGGGATTTGTCCGATTACTTGAAATATACTTGTAGGCCAGCTACTCAGTCATACAACTTTCAAGTGAATATGCTGTTGAGAAGTTATTATGTCTTTCTGTGCTTCATTTTAGCGCCTCAGATCCTTTCCTTACAGAGCAGCAAATCAGTCCTTCCCTGTGTTCAATTTACAATTTTATTATTTCTGCTTCTGCTTCCATTTAAACCTATTCCACTAATCTAATTTGTATAGTTCACTGAGCATAGAATCCCACTTGCCAAAGGTTGGTTATTGCTGCAAAGTCAGCAAGTAACGGTGATCTGTGGATCTTGGGATAGATAAATACTATAAAATAGTTCACACAGTCTGTGTGATAAGAGAAATATTTGAAAAAAGAATGCAGAAGGAAAATAGAAAGAGATAGCAGGCTGTGTGTCACAGGGTGGGAAAGAAAGAGGAGGAGGAGGAAGAGGAGGAAGAAGAAGAAAATAGGTTCTAATCAGTAAATTACATCAGTCTTGACAAATGGCTAAATGCCAAGTGACCCCTTTCGATACTGGCTATACATTTTTGGAAATACAGACATGAGAGGAATCTTACATGTTTTTCTTCAAACTGGTCTCCACCAAAAGCTGCTACACACGGTTTGATACCTCCTGTCCCCAGAGCTATTAGACTCAGGCCAATCAATGACAGGATTCTGAAACAGAGGGGTGAGAATGCTAAGGATGCTGACAGTTACACAACTGTATAGAGATGGAGTACAGAGCTGCAGAAGGGGAAGAACATATACAAAGGGGTAAACCTCTTCCATCACATTTCTGTCCTGCAGGCAAATTTCATTTGCCTTCACCCCAAGAAATACTCATGAGCTCTTTACATCTTTGTGATGTTTGAGCCTCTGCTAGAAAATACACATTGCATGGGCACAAAGATTTTGCACCTCGTACTCCTATTTACCCCTTACACACATCAGATGGAAATAGATGCTGAAAGGACTCCAAAGCTAACACCCTGATTCTCAGTCTTATTTTAGTCAAAGAGACACTTCAATAGACAGAGCTTATGAACTCTAATCCTATATAACCATAAAATAAGATGTTAAAATCCATCATAAAAATCCATCACTAACCATAAAATAAGATGTTAAAATCCATTATAATAAATAGAAGCAGTGTCAATGATTTTTATGGGACACCAATAAAGAAGTAGATATTGTTTCAATTAAAATCCCTAATTTATAGAATAAATACATATATAGACACATTATAACATGAAAACATCTGACCTGCCTTTTTAAGAACTGTTATCTTCTCTACTGACTGAATCAAAAGACAGAATCTATTAAATGCTTCTGGCACTACAAACACTGTTGATACCTTAAAAGTAAGGAGGGACAGCCACGGGAATATATGGAACTGTACATAAAGGGAAATATCCAGGCACTAAATAGGACCTGAAAAATACTGAACAATATAAGAAAACACAAATTCTTTTTCTCAATCCCTGCGGAAGTGCAGATTCATGGACGAACAGGAAAGGGAATATGGAGGATGTGAAGGGTTTATTTTTGAGCATATGAAGAGTTTTAATGAAGAGGATACTAACTAGGCAGTCTGCAAATGCTTAATTCATAAAAACAGTTGATCTCAGATAAGAAAATTCAACTGCTCATAAAACTTTTTTTCTTAACCAGCTTGGTAATAAAACAGTAACTGGAAAATAAAGGAGCAATGCTGGTAATGAAGTAGAAAATCTTTGTAATGAATACGATACACACCTGTCTAGTAGAAGAAAAGTGGCTCAATTGATTGCCTGATTTTACTCACGTGTGTGCCATTTTTCCCCCTAGTATTGGAATTGCACCCAAGGACTTTAACACGTGGCCGAGCACATACACCAGGGAGAGATAGATGATTGTCCTGTGGAGAAAGTTTAATCAGTCAGTCAGTCTGTGTATTACTCAGAGACTTGAGTCATATAGACTCAGGATTCAGGTGTTCTCAGTAAACAGAAGGAGAAGGGAGTGGAAGAGGAAACGATTAACTGAGAAATGCAAATAGTAGCAATAATAAATGAAGTAAGTAGACTATGAAAATGGAATATGATTCTTCACCTGTTTACGTGATGTAACATTTTTTTCAAGTTTTCTTCTCTTCTCAAATTACTCCTCCCCTTTCCTGCTCCATGGTATATATTACAGAGATGCAATAAGAACTAGGTGGGTTTCTAGCAAGAGTTGTGATGTTTTAAATTAGTAAAACCAACAGCAGGCAGGATACTTGGACCTGAGGTGTTTTTCTGAAAATATGTCTTTTGCTCTAGAAAGCAAGAGGGATGAAGGATAAACTCCAAGTAAAAAGGGATGGGTAACACAGATGACTTCTTTCTCTAAAAAAGCCCTGGAATAGAGAGAGGGTCATAGGGCTTCTAGGTTCAACCTGGGAAATTTGGACACTTGGGTAAATTGTTAGTGTCACCACAATTTCCTCATGGACAAGTTACCAAAGGTAAGAAAAATTGTTGGTAATAAAAATTATGCAGTGGTGGGAACTCTTCCTGTTAGATTGTTTTTCCAAGGAACCTGAATGGCAGGTAGAAAGTATAAGAGTAAGGAATTTCAATAAGACCATGTATAGAGATATACATACTGAAATATGGTACATTACACATATATACTCCTTATGTTTATATTCCTTACACTAGTGTTGCAATGAGCCTTGGGAATCATATAGTTTACATCTATGATTTCGAAGTATTTTGTACTAATATAAAGAATGGAATAAATTTTGCAGAAAGAGGTTAAAGATGCCAGAAATCTTAAAATGTAGATTTTTTAAATTTTAAATGTCTAATCTTCCTAGATTAGCTTTCAATAGAAGTGACTTCAAAGAGTATATACTGATGGATGCAGGTGGGAATTTGAATGACTAATAGAGATAGTTAGGGGAAGAGGAATGTTTTCCCAAAAGGCCTTGTGATATCTTCTAGAGAAAATTTCTCTTTGCTGAAATAAAAAGAACAAATAGAAAGGGAACAAAAAGAAACTGAAAAAGATCAGCTATTGTGAATCCAGAAGAGATGATCCATGCTGAAAGGATTTATTTCAGAGAGAAACAAACAAATAAAGGAGTCTTAGCTGGAGTGATAACTTCTGTATAGGAAAGTCAGATCTGTATCTAATTGTTGGTCTGAATGAATGAGAGATATGTAAGAGGTTTACATAAAAAATAGGCAAAAGCCAATGAAAGACTCAGAAAATAGTCTAGGTATGCAGGATGTAACAGGAAGTTGATATAAAAAAGGAAACTAAGTGTACTTTTAAACAAAAACTGTAGCTTATAATTTTTTTCCATTCTAGTCTATTTACTACTAAATTCTTAAATCTTAAAAAAACTGCACAGATTTCCACCCCCCAAAAACACACCCAGTTCCAGACCATAATGCACCTTTCTCTAAGGTCTGCACTCTGCTCTCTCTGTGTATGTGCTTCCTTCTTTCTGCCTAATAAACCTTTCAAATGGCTCACACTGTAATTCTTTCCTATGATGTATGTCAGCAAGACTTCAACCTAGCCCATGGGTGGGGCGAGTTAAGGTGCCCATCTCTTCACTGGGGGACATACTCGGACCCCAATGAGTAACATTAAGAAGATACAAAAGAAGTTAGAATGATTTATTCCAGAAGAGAGATGGAGAAATTATAAGAGCTATATTAAAGTGTCTAATTTGCTGGTGAGTAGCAATCTCAACCCTCACTGAGACCAAAATAACACTTGACTTTACTAAATGGAAGAATAAAATTACATTTGAGGGAAAAAAACCCTCTTGACTGAAAAAAATATGAACACATTGAACAAAGTGATAATAGAAAGAAATAGACACTTCATGCTAGCTATCAGTGTTAGACTCCTATATGCTGTTTACAACCTAAGTAAGTTCTTGCTTGAAGGTGAGAGATTAGAAATGTTAACTTTCTGTACGATGAATCTTTGAAACTTCTGGAGATGTAATCTCCTATCTTCCTTACTTGAATTTTCCCAACCATGAGTCGGCAATAGCTGCTCCCAGGATGGGAGTGAAATAACAGAGGCTGCTGAATGCATGATATACAGACGTGGAGGTGTCTTCACTCCAGTGCAGGAAATACAGGAAATACAGGGTCAGCACAGCTAAAATTGAAAAAAAAAAAAAAAAAAAAGGAGGCAAAACAAGACAAATGCATTAAAAGGATGCATGGAGATATATTTGATCTCTGGTCTGTGAAGGTGATTTTGGCCTCCCGCACTCCTGTCAGTGAAGTTACCTAAGGAGTAACTTCTAGGTAGCTGAAGCAGTGCCTGTGAGAAGTATAAGAGTAAATGGAGCTACACTGAACATACAATGTTCCTTCTTTCAGTCTCTTTGCACCCATAGCCTCCTCTAGGCCAATAATGAAATAGCATAATGTGTTCAATACCCTTTCCTCTTCCTTCCTGGTTAAAATATAGTACATAGATCTGAGGAAGAGGTATAAAGACTGGAACTCACATAATAACTTTTCTACTTCACACAGGTTGTGTTCTATCAGACCATTTTGATCTTGGCCAGCGTAAATTACTAAGTGAAATCCCATCAGGCATTTATTGGAGGTCTTGGCCAAAACAAAGGACCAATTTATATTAAGGCAGAAAGAGTGGATAAGGGAACCAAGTGCATTTAAGGAGACCAGGGTGCTACAAATATGGGGTGAGTGTGAGTGGAAAAGACTCTGGGACACAAAGTTACCTTTCATGCCATAGTAGGAAAAACGCTCACAGAATTCATTCACCACAATGAAGGCAATGCTCAATGGATAACTGGAGCCACAGATTTTCTATGCAAGAAAAAGACAATGGTTTAAGCATAAACTGTTTTCCTGTTTCAACCACTAGATTGCTCAAAATTTTATTTTAAATAGCCATGGTAGGTAATATAGAGCAATGGTTTCTACTCTATAAAATAGCTACTATCACACCAGAAGTGCTCACATTGCTGACTTAGAAGCTAACCTGAATATTACTTTGTTCTTCATTTAAGCGGGAACTGCTCAGACATCCTTTGATCCTAGACCCGCTCTTCTTCCCACAACAGCTAAATGAAAAGCCAAGGCTCTGGTTAGGAGAATAATCATGCTTATTGCTAAGAGAAGAATGAAGAACTGGTCTCCAAAGTACCTGATATCAAGAGTATTAGATTCTGGTGTTAGTGTTCTGCTTAGGTTCGAGGTAGGAAGTAACTCCTCTTGTCCCCAACTGCCTTGTTCACCATGTTGGGAGGAATCCTGGCAATATGATGGCCTGCCCTTCAGAGACTGCTGGAGCCAGGCACAGAACTCAGTATCAAAGAGAGAGATTCCTAAAGGTAAGCTGAATAGTCACACTGACTTTGAGCAGATGATCTGAAATCTTATCAAATTAAATGTCCACTCTTTCTACTAAAGATATTCTATAACATTTTCATGATAACCCTACTGGACATTAGAAAAACCATGTTATTTCATGTAGTATATCAGTGAGAATATAAAGGATATCACATTTTATTTCAAATCCCTACTCATTACCATAGCTCAACTAATGTGGGCAGTGGAATGGAGATATCAGTCCTTGAGATTGTAATGTGAAATTTTATGAGTTTTATATTGCCTCTTAGTTCATAAGATATGAAGTATGTTTGTGTGTGTGTATGTGTGTGTGTGTTGAGAGAGAGAGAGAGAGAGAGAGAGAGAGAGAGAGAGAAAGCATCTTTAAATTCTTTGGGAACAGAAGAGATAGAATTAACTAAATAGATATTACAAATATAAGTTAATGCATGATAATAACCTGCTTGCAAACACAGTGGACTTCTTACCTTCCCAGCTCATAGCTTGAGAACTATGCAGTGTACAGTGTAGTTAACATACTGTCACTAACAGCGTAACACTGTCATGTCACCATGCCTCCTTGTATCTCAGTTCTGTTATTATTCCCAGAAAATGAGAGTTAGTAGTTTTTCTTAGTTCATAGCAAGAACTCATCAAATGTAGACTATTACTACTAAAGTCTCTCTATAGGATTTTGATAGAGGGACTGAATGAAATAATAAATTTGGAAATGCTTTAACAAGTATGTAATGTAAAACGTTATGTGCTATTTCTCTTTCCTATCTCCTACTACAAACTGAGAACACTTAGTAACAGAGATTGAACCTATTCTAAAACTCCTGATAGTATCCAGAAGGTTCTGTACACAGGGGGAACGAAAGGCTGTGTAAAAAAGGAACAATCACACACAGTTCTCCGGGCAGAAATGCTTGCCAAATTTCCCTGGATATTCTACTTGCTTTTCTTTCCCTGACAAACTCAGAATATGCAGTGAAATCCACAGCAAAGCCCTGAATCCCAGCTGAGGAACTCTGATTCCCTCTTCCTTCCGCTTCCTCTGCTAAGTAAAACAAACTTCTGTTTAGATTTTGTTTTCAGGTAAATTTGAACTGCATGAGAGAATAATTTTTATACCCAAATGCAGCTCAGCATGAAGTTCTGGAAGCCAAGGAGGAACGACAAGAAAACAAGGTATTACTGTCAGAAGCAGAACTCAATTGCGGGACTCACCGGAGGTGACTGCTTAGGAGGGCTGGGAGGTCTAGGCGGTACCTCTTCAGTGCAAACAGGTGAAAAAAGAGTCTCCTTGGACTCATTTTTCTGGAAAGGATTCATGGCTGGCTTCTTACTCTCTTTCTCCTCAAGCATTTGGCTTCAGTAGGCAGTTAGGACAGTTGCCAGCCTACAGTGAAAAGGGGGACTGGGAGGAGGAGCGGTGGCGACAGCAACTAGGTTTAACCCTGTGCTGGTCAGTTTTAGTAGCTGCTTACTCAGATCAAACCTGGAGGGTTTAGGAAAAGAAAGGGTGGTGCACAAAAGAATGATTATGTAAAAGGTAAAGCATGAGGAAGTCAAAACAATCTGTCCCAAGTTATGAGATGGGATGAAACAATGCCAGAGAAAAATGGGAATCTTTAAGAAAAATTAACTTTGCAAATGTATATAGGATACTTAAGAATGCAAGATCTTGAGCACAGGCAAAAAAACTCATTTCAGATGTCAATAGCTACTATTTATTGGACACCTGTTTTACAAGGTTAATATATATATGAATTACACACACATTATATGTATTTATAAGCTATATATTTACTTATTCTAACCCTTACTACTATCTCTGTTTTCCAAAAACTAAATGTTCCAAGAGATTAAATAACTAGCCCCAAATCAAATGGCCAGATAGCAGATCTGAAAAGTACAGATTAGTATCAGCAACTAGTTTGGCCATTATTCAGGTATGGAAACTATGTAAGTGGAAATGTAGGAATTTAGGGAAGTTGAAATGCTTTGAAGAGGGAAAGTCATCACAAAACTGAATTTGAAAGACAAGAAAGGTGTTTATTTTGGTTTTCTTCATCATTAAGCTCAGCTAGAAAGATCCTATAAGCAATTTAAAAGGTAGGGCTCAAGAAAAGCGTTGGTGATGTATATTTGAGAAATACTATTTCCCTTTGCTAAAGTCATTCTTTGTGTTTCATTTTCTTTTTTCACTTCATGGTAATTCAATCCATCTTTTCATTTAAAGCAAAATTTAATTTGTGCAAAAATGATCAATGAAGTGATTTTCTGGGTACTGTTGCAAACATTTTCTTAATTTGTAGTGAATGAGGTCCATAATGACCCCAGATTACCATAGTTAGTCCTATCAGAAGAGGAACACGAATAAGCATGATAACCCTAGATGGATTTTATACTGTTATTTTTGCTAAGTCAAAGAGAGAAGACAAGAACAAAATAATGTGTTGTCAATCAAAAGAAAAAGGAGAAGAATGGCCGACATCCACAAAGACGAAACTGTGCAGAGGTCAGGCAACACTAGAATGTATTATTTTATTTGAGAATGCAAGAGAGGACATTGCATGACTCCATCCCTTGCAAAATTCTTACATTATCTATCTGACTACTTTATCAACACATAAAGCCTTTTCTTCCCTAAACTTTAACTCAGATTTTGACCATGTTTTCTCAGCTTCTCTCACCCTCATTTCTTCTCTCTCACCAACCTTTACCCAAAGAATAATCCAGCTTCATTTCTGACCGCAGCATTAATGATTAATCTGTAATTACTCTTCTAGGAAATATTTCCTTTTCTGACTTATTTTGTTTAATGACTCTGAATGCAAAATAAAAAACAGAAGTTGCTAGTCAAGCTAACTAGTAAGACCCAGACGCTTATGTCAGTGGTTTCTCTGGTACTGGCCTTGTACCTCTTGGCACGTGACCTGGCACAGCAGATGGCATAGGACATGTATACAATGCAACATCCATTTGTACTCACAAACACCTCAAATGCCAAACTTCAGAGTATAGACATTGATTTTCTAACCTTCTTTTGTTTATTTGAAATTCTTTTGATTATGGCAATAGAATGACAGTACTCACAGAATCAAATAATATCAGCAATAAAAGGGATCCTAATTTTGTTTTATGTAAACAAACTTTACTGATAAGAATAATTTGAAGTAAAGCCTTTCCCTTGACAGTTCTGATTGAATGTATCTCAGCAGGGATCTAATAACCTGTATTTTTAAAATTAATGTTATGGTACATTTTAGATATATATAATGATCACATTCATTAGAGGAAGTTTATACCTGTACATGATGTTTCTTGATTCTTCTTTTTCCCTGAGCCCTTCTCCTCCCTTCAACCCTTCTTCCCTTCCTTATTATTATTATATGTGCTGCCAAAGCGAGCACTTCCTGTCCTTATTTACCAAAGCTGTTTCCATTTTCTTCCTTCTATTCTTTTTTTTACAGCGTGGACACATATCGTTTCTATACAGTGCAAATATTTTCTTATACTTTGTAAGATTGTGTGTGTGTGTGTGTTATATGAACTGAGAATTAAACCCAGGGCCTTGCGGGTTTATGCAAGGAGTCTACTCCTTGCATTTATACTATGCAAGGAGTTTACAGTCAGGTACATCCCCAACCCTCTTTTCAATATCAGTAATATTCTTTTTTCTCTTTTCCCTTCCTTTCCCTTTCCCCATCCCTTGTTCCTCTTCCCATTTGAATATTTCCTTTTGAATATCCCCAAAATCGGTAACAAAAGGGTGAATAAGTGAATAGAAAAGAGTTCAAATGATGTGAACAGATATTTCACAAAGAGGATATCCAAATAGCCAATAAATCTACAAACAGGTTAGCAGCTATATGGATCGATATAGATTATTTAACTAGTTTTCAATTGATGTATATTCAGATTTCATCTTTTGCTACTATTAATAATACTACAATAATAATATGGCACATAAGTTAAATTTCTTTGTAAGATAAACTTGGAGAAGTGAAACTGGTGAGTCCAAAGTAGATGCTTTTATAAGCTTTGAAACTGCCAATAATTTTCTTGCCCTTTTTCTCTTACGTTAAAATGTTTTATTTTATTAGTACATGTTTGCAATTCAGGCAGTTTACAGTCATCTTGGGGAGTGGTTACAGAGCTTGTTCTTTTATTTATTAATCCCTTTCCCCTTCCTTTTCCCTCCTCCCTCCATCCTCAGGTTCCTCTACTCGCTTTGTATCTGTTAATATTATTTGTCTTAGCTCATGTTATGGCATGTAGTGCTTACATTAATTGGGAATATTAGGTTCCTGTACATGGCACATTTTTATTCCTCTTATTTCCCCTTTCCCTCCTCCTCACCCTTTGCCCTGATTCCCTTGGACCACTTCTCTAATGCTAGAGCTCCATCCTCTGTCCCTTTCTATCCTTTATTATTTTCTTTGTACTTTGTCTCACTCAAATGAGAAATACCATATGGTATTTAAGTTTATATGTCTGGTTTATTTTGCTGAACACTATATTTTCCAGGTGCATCCATTTAACTAAAAATGTCTCAAATGTGTAATTCTTTATAACTGAGTAGTATTCCATTATATATGGGTACCACACTTTCTTTATCCAATTGTCTGTTGATGGGTATACAGGCTGATTTCAGGATTTAGCTATTATGAATTTTGCTTCTATAAACATTGGTCTGCATGTATCACTGCAGCATGGTGACTTAAGCTCTTTGGGAAAGATACCTAGAAGGGAGATAGCTGGGTCATATGAGATTTCTAATTTCAGTTCTTTGGGAAGTCTCCATAGTTATTTTCATATTACTTATACTAGTTTGCATTCCTACCTAGCAGGATAGTTCTTTTCTCAGCACAGCCATGCCAGCATTTGTTATTGTTTGATTTTATAATGATTGCTATTCTTTCCAGAGTAAGATGCAATCTTAGTGTTGTTTTAATTAGCATTTCTTTAATGGGCAGAGATGTTGAATATTTTTCCATATATTTGTTGATCATTTGTATTTCTTCCTCTGTGAAATGTCTTTTCATTTTTCTAGCCCATTTCTTGATAGGGTCTTTAATTTAGGCGGTTTAGTTTTTTTT